CTCCCCCTGGGCACTCCTTTTGCATGAAAAGTTGCCGCCCACCACCGCCCCAGGAGAAAGGCCTGGGCACTTGCCACAGACTGAAATCTGCACAGCAGCTTCTCCCTTCGCAGCCCCATCTGGGTAGAGCCATCGGTTATCTCCGGGGTGAATGGTGCACATACCCCGACTAGAGCAGCAGCCTTTGCCTGGTATCAACTGCTCACAAGTATGCCTCGAGGGGCAGTGAGGATGAGCCCCCTCTCTTCTGGAGCCGACAAATCTCCAGGCCCCAGCAGTGCGAGCTGCGGCTTGTTGCGGTGCACTGTCAGTAACGGTCAGGCACTGCCTTCCCTCCGTGCGCCTGGCTCGCAGCGATCAGCCCCTGACCTTCCCGAGGCCTTTTCTAAGAGTGTGGTTGGAGGCTCCGCTGCTTTGACGGCCCCCCTTACTGCTTCAGCCTCTCTCGCGAGAGCTGTCCGCCCCTGGCAGAGGAAACCTCCGAATCCCGCCTGTCTCCGTCCTGCGGCTTGCTGCGGTGCACTGTGGGTAGCGGTCAGGCACTGCCACGCGTTTGCGAGTGCAGCAGCATGCAGCGTTCTTGAGGTAGAAGATGCCTCAGCTGGTGCAGGAGGTGCAGGAGATGTACCAGGAGCATAGGAGACAGGAAGAGAGGGGCTTTGCCCCGGGAGCCGTGCTCTTTGCTGCCTTGCAGCAGTGGCAGTTCTGGGCCATCGCTGGAGTCCTGGTCCTGCTCTTTGGACACTGCTGGTGGCTCAGGAGAAGGAGCGCTGTGCCACATGGGAACAGAGACAAGGAGGACAAGAGCAGTGACAGCGAGGAGTACCACAACAGTCACAGCAAGGAGGGCCACAACAGTGACAGCAATGAGGACCACAACAGTCACAGTGAGCAAGAAGAGGAAAGAGGAGTGGACGAAGAGACAGAAAAAAATGATGAAAACGACGTGGGAAGAACTCTTGAGAGACACATCCCGGGGCCAGTTGCAGGCCTGGCTACTGACTACCAGATAGTGGTAAACTTCGTAAACGACTTAATCAGAATCTTCAGAATATGGTTGTCAAATAGTTTCTTACTGAACTTGGAAGCAACCATTGGGGTGGGCAGCACCTTCGAAGGTTGGAATCCGCGTGAGGAAGACATCACCTTCCGCGTGTTCGTGCCCATGACACCTCCCCGTGGGCACGTTTTCCACCTGGAACTGGACACCGAGAAGATGATCCCGGGAAGGAACTTCCCTATCCGTGTTGAGCAAGTGCGTACCTGAAGGAGGGAGCAGCGGCCAGGAGAGATGCTGTGCTTCCTCCACAGGCCTGAGGAAAAGCTGAGGAACAAGCAGGGCCGCAGCATCCTCGACATACTCTGCACTGGCTCCTACCTTGATGTGCACAAAACTGCCCACTGGTTCCATCTCTTGGTGAAAGCAGCTTGGGTGAGTTTTCCCGAGTCATGCAGGTGTGTGCTAAAGATGCTGCCATTCAGCCGCTCCTGCAAGTTCCAGATGAAGAGAGGCGGTGGCAAAAGCATGCTCATTGAGGTGATGTTCGGGGTGCAGCAAGACGACTCAGATATCTTTGAGAGCAGCCAGAGTACAGAGGCCATCTTCACCCCAGACATGATGTGGCCAGACAGCTATGCTGTGGCAGAGGCAAAGTTCTTCAGGCTTATGGCCAGGGACATCCCGCACAGCAGCTTCCACCTCAGATGCTTGCAGGTCTGTGCCTGCATCGTGGTGGGCACGGACTTTTCCAGCTGTACCTTCAAGACTGTTGTGATGCACTTCCTGACCACCACACCCCTGTCAGGCTGGACCAGGAGGGATTTTCCGCTGCGGCTGCTGGAAATCATGCGATACCTGCGCCACCGCCTGAAGGAGAAATGGCTCAACCACTTCTTCTTGGGCAACGAGGGGATGCCTGAGGAGATCGTCTTGCCCTCAGACATCCGAGAGGCTGAACAGCTCAACCTCTTCCAGCACCTGGAGCAGGATCCCGTCGCCCATGCTGAGGCAATGCATGAGGTAGAGGAGCTTCAAGATCGGCTCAGAAGACTGCTGAAAGACCACTGAAAGAGGTCTTCATGCACAGAGCTGTGTTTGCGGGGCTCACAGATCGTGGCAGACGACCACCTCATACAGAAAGGAAAAAGAAAAGAAGATGTCATAAACCAGACATGAAATGGAAAGCCCTGCTTAGGAGCTCTGTGCCAACAGCAGCAGCATTCTTCTCTCGACGGTCTCCCCAGCGCAGTAGCCCACATTGACAATGGGGGCTACAAAGATGACTTTCATCCTCCTTCCCCCTCGCAATGTCATGGCCGTGGAGGCAATTTCACGTGGGCCCAGAAATTCTTGCTGGCAGCTCCAGCTGTGAGGCAACCAGGTGAGAGGCACTGCTGACATGCCTGCATATGTTCATTGGAGTTTGGATGGAGAATATACTCATCCTAGACAATCTCCACAGAGCTGGTGGTGCAGAACAGAGCACGCTGGGTATGGACACTACGCTGCTCAACTGGCTGTGGCAATTGCCGCCGGCCCTTTTCTCCA